TAAGAGGACGGTTTTGTTTTACACTTCCTCGTCTGGCCATTTAATTGAGTTCACCTAACACTTTTCGGCCGCATTACGCAGATTCATATAGTAACCATAAGAAGGGCCCCGACCCTCACATTGGTGCCACTTTACACAATGATGCATTAATATTTCAACCTATATCAGTAACAGGGCAGATGTGAAACAAAACAAAGCATTTTCAAGGCCAGGTCCTGCTTTCACATCCCAGAAATTTCAGAAATCATGAATAGGAATTTACTTTCAATACTTGTAATGAGTGTTTTATATAGGTGTATGGGTGCTTTACATATTCTCCCTTGTTTTCAATCTGTCCTTGCTCTCTGAGGCAGAAAATGCCCCCAAAATAACTAAAGAACATTATACTCAGAAACACAGATTCCTGGCAGCAGCACAAGAGGAAAGCTCACAAAGGCAAAGATCGAAAAGGTTTATTTTCTGATGAACAATAATCTACTCAGTATATTTCATAAAATCCTGATAGTTACATTTTAATATTTCTCGAGCACAGCTGGAATCTTTTTGCCTGATGCTGCCATTTCAACATTAGATTTTGAATGAGACTTAATGGAAAAAAACCATAATTTGTTTTTAAAAATATTGGGTCAATTAAGTGAAATTATTAACCTGATGATGATGATGCAGGAAAAAAGGAGAGGGGTTGACCTTTATCATTTGGAGAAAGTGAATATTCAAGCTAAATTTCAGTGGCCAGTAGACGTAACGACACCTGGTGTAGCCGCCATCATCCAGCCCTGCCTGAAGCGAGGTACACAGAGCTGCAGGTACATGCTCACCTTCCAGTATGCATTTTCATTTTCTGTACCATCTTTGGGAACTATCTTATTACACATGGAAAAACATTAGATCACACTTATCGGCCACAAAAAGTTCTATTTTATAATGAATGAATACACATTTGTAATCAGAACAGCAACAGAATCAAAGCCAGAGTTGTACTTCAAACTTTTTTATTACAAAATATAAATGGCAAAAAGCTTTTATCATTTGCTAAAACAATGTGATCAGTGCCTGATGTGAATGTTTACAGTAAAATAAAGCTTTTTTTGTTCTTTTTTTTGTTAGGTTAGCATGCTACAGTTGATACAGTACAGGTGACAGTGCTCCTGCTCAAAATAAAGAAGAGAAAAGTGTAGCTGACAAAGGAGTCAACAGAAAGTGTTCCATCTTCACTGCCACTCTGTCAAATATATCCAATCTATCCATACAGGTGGGTTTAAAACAGAACTAGACTGGAGTGAGCAAAGAGTGGATTAAATATTGGTGCTCCCTGACTTCACACACTGGGTAAATGGTGGCTTCTCACCACTTGAACTGACCGAATCGACCAAATCCCTTTTTATTCTAAACAAAAGTTGTTTCTTATTTCTCTAGCCCACTCTTCTCTGGTAACACATTCACATAAACCAGTGAAGCAACTTATTGTGAACTTGACCTAAACACAAATGATAAAGAATTGTTGATTTCGAAGTGAAACTGCCCAATACACCAAAACGTGAAAAAGAGATTCTGTGTGAAATCCAGTGATGCCAGACAGTTTCTCTTTAGCCGCCAGGGCACTAAAAGTCCAGGGTTGAGGGGACCGTGTGTCTGAAGGGTAAGGAGATAGTGGACCAGAGTGGGGGGGTTTGGGAAGTCCGTTCCCATATTTTTCGGCAGTCTTTAAACAACACTTAAGGATTTACGTTTGACTGGCGGTGCGTTATATGGAACCCTCTGTGCGTAAACTGATGTGGAGAGGAAGGCAGGCGCACAAAGAAAATCTAATGTCAGAGGTCTTGAATGCTGAGACAGCGGCCAGCTGTGTTAACGAGGCGCTTTATTTCCCAACCTCGTCGAGCACTTTGCGGTTGAGCTGAGCCTGCTCTCTCTGGCTCTCCATCTTGGCCATCTGGATCATATTCCTCAGCAAGTGGAAGGTGAGGTCGATGAGGACCGAGGAGAGGAGCAGGAGCAGGGGGACTGGCTTCATGTCCTGCAGCCAGAAAGATGCATTTTAAAAGTTCAACACTGAATGAGCAGCAAGACGATAGTGAGCAGACAACCGAACTCACATTAAAAAGTGTTATTGCTGCGCACTTTGTAGCGTTTCAGACTGAATCTGAGTGGAAAATTCACAGTTTCCCTGTCATACACCAATCAGTTAACTTCAGTAAGACTTTGCTAAGACACAGATGAATAAAGACAGTAGTTCGGTGAGCTTTTGTTGGCGATTGCTCCGCCGTCACTAATGCTGGTAAAGTGACCTTGGGCACTAATGAACTGTCAGTTTTTACGTCTTAACTATGATATTACCTCATACATGGAGCCAAATTAAATTTGTGGGCGCTCAAACGGAGTTCTTACATTACACTTAACGAAAAATCGCAGAAATGACTACCATCTATTACCTGACTTTAATTTGATACACATATGGAAAAGCAATTTGGACAAAGGCTATCTAAAAAAAAAAAAAACTGGTCCCAAGATGCTCAGGCTGCATTGTCCTTTCCACCTGACATGCTCCTACTTGTGCAAATTTGCCCGATGCAACTAAACTTTATACTGAGAAAAAAGGAGTAAATAAAGGTCGCAGGACTCACTTTATTCTGTCCAGATGTTGCAGCTGAACCTTGTGTTCGGCAAGTGAGATTTCAGGTCGGAGCCGAGTCTGAAAAGTCCCTGTGAGCGGTGACTGGAGAAGACGGGGCGTTTTATACATCCTGCCTGCTCCTTTTGACGTCAATGCAAGCACAGAGACCGGTCTGGAAACTGGACAAGTATCCAGACGCAAAAGTAATATAGTCCCGAGGGGCAGCTGGAGATGCTGTGATGGACAGAATATAAAGGAAGGACTTTAAAGGTTTATTTCCTATCCATTCATCCAGTCACGAAGTGTAGAGAAAGACCTCCCAGGGGGACAGAGGAGGATACTGGGGCCCTTGTAGAGCTTCCCAGGGGGTGTCAGGTTGGGGATTTCTTGGGAATGTTCCAAAGGTAGTTTAAAGAAGGATTGAAGAGATCATCATTATTAAACATAAGGTGCCTTCCTGGTGTAGGAAATGGCTGGAAATCTATTGACAGGTCACTGCGATGAACCCTTGTGGATTTCAGTTATGTCCTTCAAAGCGCTGTGCACGTTTGTTTCCAACTTTTCTCACTTCGAAATACCTGCTGAAGGAAAAAAAAAAACTACTGGAAGTGATCCAAACTGAGCTGTACTTGTTCTCCCTTTGAATTTGGAGCTCCTTTAGCTAAATTTGATCAAACTGGAGTGTATGACTGTGTTAGTGTCCTGTAGAAATAGTGCCATTTTAATTTGCTAAGTGGAAATCAAGGTAAAACCAAGATTTAAAGGCAGCTTTACAGAAAGTGCTGCATTAAAGTGATAAAACAAGTGGAAAAACACAATAAATCAGTTTTTTTCCCCTTCAAATCAGTGTGAGTTAATTTAAACCATCATTTTTGACCAGGCGACCCCATAGTGCAAGGTTAGGCCTTATCACTTCTGACTAACACCATCAGTCAGTGAACATTCAATGAAACTTGATGTGAACAGAAACATTAGAAATGTGCCTGGGAGCTGTCCATGGTGCTGAACCTGCTGTTTGGACGCCTGCAACACGACGGACAATCAGCAGATAAACTTTAACCCACCAGGGGTTAAAAGTTTGATATTAAGAGAAGGAAGGCAGGAGGAGTATTTCTGCCACACAAAGAATCGACTCATTTTTCAGATTTGCCTCTAATTTCTGCATTTTTTAGTGAAAATAAATACATTTACTGCTCAAGACCAAAAGTGACTCAGATGAAGCTGGGAAAATCACATGCAACTTGTGACAAGTGGTCATGAGCAGACTCTGCTTGTTTTTAAGAGGATAAGAAGCCAAAAAAGGGGGCGACTAAGCCATTTCTCATTTTCCACAGGACACCCTGGACCTCAGCTGTTTCCTGGCTGATTGAGGGCCATACCAATCGGTTACTACGAACCTTCGTAGGTTCTTATTGCATTTCACTGTACATTCACGTTATTACCCGACACAGAAGGAGTGGGCTGTTGTTTGTATTAGATAAAGAATGAAGAAGAATCTGGACTCTACAGAGTCTGGACCCCCCCAGACCTTGTACTGCAGCTTCATTTAAACTGCCATGGCTTCAATTTAAAACGCAGTAAACCTGGGAGCTGAATTAGAAATGGATTCCAGCTTTCTGGAGAGAGGCTTGTATCCCCCAGGAGAAGAGGACGTTTGGCAGATTTTCAGGGGATTCATCAGGCGTTTCTGCTTGCTCTTCCCTGATACAGCCCAAGTGTGTTTGTGTGGGAAAAATGTGTGTAGTTAATTTGGTTGACAGCCCAGTTTAGCAGCCTCCAAACAAACCCCACCCAGCCAAATTCATCCACAAGAGCTAGCAAGGTCAGAGACACCACTGACATCGGCCCATGTAAAGCTTAGCTGTACGTACCAGAGGCGGCTTTGGTTGTTAAAAATGTGCACACTGAATTCAATCACAACTTGAAAATGTAAGAAAAAAATCCACACTTCAACAACAATTATCACTGCAGCAAGGATCTATTCTGTTCGGCGGCAGCAACAACTGTACAACGCAGCTAAACAGAAAATCATTTCTGTCATGACTGTTTATAGGAATCGTCTGGATCTGTCCAAAACCAAAATGAGTGCAGCATTAAGACTTGATATCACTTGCAGAGACGACAGTTGTCTGGTTATCACTCATTTTTTGAACACTTGTAACAAATCTTAAAAAAAAAAAAGTTGTTGGCCTTTTTCCTGAGGGTTGTTAAAAAGAAATCATGGGAATTGCAGGAAAACAACTAAAGTACACAGACGTGGCAGAGAAAGTGGGTAAACAATATGTAAATCACAGACATAAACTGAAATCAATAAAGCATTGTTAACCAGGAACAAACAATCCTTCAGCTCAGTTATTCTGAGTGATTAACAATACATGACTGGAATAAAAAAAAAGTTCCCTTTGCTACTAGTAGGTGTGAACGTGTGTGTGTTTGTGTGGTTTCACAACTGTCACATCTCATCCCATAAATAACAAACTTTCACAGACATCTCTGCAAATGAAAGTTTGACTTTCAAGTGTGAATGTGTCATTCGGGGAGACGAGCCTTTTCTCTCGATCTCTGTAAGTGACTCAGTCACAGTATTACACATCGGAAATATCAGAAAACCAAGTAGCCTGAAGTAAGTTAGAGCAGAACGGCCCGTATCACACACATACACACACACACAATGAATGAGTGTAAATTCATCAGTAGCAGCTACACAGGCCGGACTCGTGATCACCCTTCACATCTTATTGGCCTTCCAGGTCAGGTAGGCGTTCCAGACCACAGCGACGATCTGCACGACAGCCAACCTTAAAGCAGCAACAAATGGGTTTAAATATGAGACGACTCAGCGCGTCTGAGAGATTAATGAATAGGAAATGAAGTTGTAATGTTAGTTCTCATGAGATTTAAAGGTTATTTTCACAACTGAAACACAATTTTAAAAAAGCAGTAAAGTTTTGTTTTGAGTTCATCTGAGATTTGGCACCAAGAAAACAACAAGGTCCAAATCCTCTGAAAATGGTTTCGGGGTAAAACAGTTCTCATATTTCTGTTTGGAAAATAAAGCCAGTATAAGATAAAAATCATTTAGATTCTGCTTCTTTGCACTTCACACAAACTTCACATGTGAATGCAGCTGATTGACTAAGTTAATAAAGCCATAACGTTTTACCTGTGGTGCAGCGGGATGAAGTAGAAATTGGCGATTTGGACTGGAGGCCAGAGCTGAAACGCAAACCGGCAACATTCAGGGAGCAACTCCATCTTATGATTCAATCAACTGGTTCATTTGACAAAAACCAATAGTTTACAAACACATCAGTAAAAAGGCAAAGCTTACATAGTAATTTGCGATCAGGGCATCTGTGTAGTCCTGTAAAACAAGCACAATGTTATATTGGCATCACAACTGATAATTCACACACCATTCTAAAGCTAAAAGTAGCTCATGATTTACTGAGTTAGGAAAAACTCGGGCCAGGCTTCTGGTCTAAAGGCTCATTAAAGTATTTTAGTACTAAAACCAGTTAGAGGCGATTCAGAAACCAGTCTGTCAGCTGGTGCAGACCACCAGAAACATACAACATGAAACTTTTAAAGATATGTCTACATTTAGAAGTAAGCATTAATTTAGAAAAGGTCCAGGTTGTAACACTTCTAACTGTGCATGTGAACAGTGCACACACACCAGAGTGTTAATCCAGCAAAGCAATGCTGTTAATGTGCAAATAAGTAAAAATGTGTGTAATCTAAATCAGGTTTGTTTCACTTAGAAACCTATATTAGTTTTTGTTTAGTGATAAAAACAAAAAGTAGATGCAGACTTTGGCTCAACAGTAGATATGGTGTGCACACAACTCACACACACACACACACACACACACACACAGTCTTGCCACAAAAATATTTCTCTGTCATCCACTTAAAGGCCACCTCAACAAGTCTCGACATATAAAAACAACAAGCCAATGTTCCAGTTTCAATCTTTTTTTTTAATGGTGGAACTGTTTCTAATTACGGTCAAACAAGCTGCTTTGCCACCTGAGGTGAAATGACGTCACAACCTTTCCTCCCACACTCTGGAGAAGCTGGGACCCTTTCTCACCTCTGCCTGCGGTTTTTAAGCTGCGTCACAAAACATCAACATGTTCGGAGCTTCTCAGCTGCCTTATCACTGTCAGCCACTGGCACCACATACAGATTGTGAGCAGGTTTCAAGTAGACGTTTCTACAAGAATGTAGTTTCCTTTGCTCTGAGGAACAAGGAGGCTGCTGGAGGAGCCATGAGCGAGGAAACACGAGAGCTTCCTTTTATGAACCGACACGATGGTAGAGTTCAGCTTTGTGTTTCGTAACAGGTTAAAACTAGAATCACCGTTTCAAGGTTCTATGCCTCCACCACGAGACAGACATGAGGTCACTGACCTTGACCTTTGACCACCAAAATCTAATCAGTTCACCCTCGAATCCAAGTCGACACTTGCGATTCCCTCAAGGTGTTCCTGACATATCACATTCACGAGAACAGGCTGGGCGACAACCTGAAAACAATGTCTCTGGATGTGGCTATCGCCAGTGTGGGGGCGTTAAAAACTCAGGTAACTAACAGGTAGACGAGAAAGACAACAGTCGGAGCGGCTCCATCCATTTCCACCTCACATTTCCTCAGTGCCAGGCCTCGTTGTAATGGGCTCATTTGTCATTTATTTTCTGTCCTTTCTGACATTTACCAGTTTGGCCTTTCTGGTCCATGCGTCTGTCTTTGTAAATAATTGATGGTGACCAGCAGCACGCTGGGTAAGCAGGGCGGTGACGGACGTTTGAGCAGCTGGCACAAGATGACAGTTAGCTCTGACCATGCATACAAACAGACACACACACACACACACACACACACACACACACACACACACACACAGCGTTCTCATTCCTCGTGGGGACTTGACATTGAATTTCATTCATTTCCTGTAGACTTATTCCAAACTTAATCATAACCACTACTGGCCTAAGCCTGACCAGTCTCTGGTCCCCACAATGTGAGTGTGTTAACACAGATGTATATACACATATGAAGGTATGAGTCACTGTTTCCACAGTCCCTCCTTCTGGTCCCTTCTTCCACCACAGGAAATAGCTTCTAATAATAATTGATAGAAGGTGAGTGCTGGGGGGCAGACACTGTACCTACACTGGAAAGCAAACTTCCTCTGTGTACTCTCATTTACCTGCACCGTGTACAAAAGAACCTGCACAGAAAACCGGCGTGTTTTGTGAACACTGCAGCTAAAACACAGCCATCATGAGAACACAGTCAACAGAGAAGAGACACTTTGTCAAAATCGAGACTTTTAGATCCAACATTTTAATTCAAAGACATTTTTCTGGTCATTCAGCTTTATGATTTAATTTTCCTATGAGATTTACTGTCCAGTTCCGTATCCAGGCTGTAGTCTGGTTCACTCTGTGTCGTGCCTTTAATGTGACATTCAGAAATAAATGAGAACTCCCGCCCCAAAAAAGAGAAGAATGATCATAGTCCTCCAACCCTCTGGCTGCAAGTAAACTCACCCTCTTCAGCTTGGTGATGTTCTCCTCTACCGTCAGCCCGTTCAGAGCACCGGAGATACAGAGGAAAGCTCCCAGGAAGCACGGAGCGAAACACAACTGGAACGACACACGAGGACACAGAGAAGGAATCAAAGTGTGCGGCTGACTTTCACAAAACCCAAATGGCTGAGAACACATCAGACACAGACCATCTCCCGTTGTGTGTTACATGTGTGAAAGGATTGTGGACAAAGTCCGGGCCTGATTCCACAGAGACAGCCCAGGGTTCATGTGTGAAATCGGCTTTACACAGAGCAGCGTGGACGTATCACTGAGCTTATCTCCATCTTCTCTGTTTGCTAGAAGCACCTCAGTCCGTTCGGCTCGTCTATACCCAGCGGCACCAACGAGCAGCAGAGGAGAGGACTGTTCCTAGAGACTCACCTGGTCACACAGCATTTTCTTCATGGCAGCACTTTTAGTTCCTCCAACCACCAGCATGTCCAGCACTTTGTACCAGCTGCCAACCACTGGACCCTTCGAAGGAAAACAAGCAGAGCACATCACACACACCGGGCCTCTTCTCTTACAACCTGTCACACACCAACCATTTTTAACATCAACAGATAAACTGAACTTACTTCATGCTTATTTATTTTTCTATTTAATTTAGCTTTGTCTTTATTTGTTATCCGCTTCTTGTTTTACTCAGAAACGTCCTCTCAATTGTCGCCTTTGTCTCAGTGAGGTCAGAAAGAGTTGTGTAGCTGCCACAGGCCGTGATTGGTGACGTTTACAGATATATAGGAGGCAAGAGCATACACTATGTAACAGGTATATGGTAAGAATCCATGTTAACTCTGGTTGTTGCTCTTTCTTTGTCCCACTCTCTCTGTGCAAAAGATGCCGTCTCTTCACTCTGGCAGCCGCTGGTTTAGACTTTTAGCTGCCCAGAGCTCCTCCATGGCTGTTTGACATAACTACTGGCATTTGGAGAAGGTGGAATAACAGCAGAAGGGCTGTAGGCAGCAGAGTGTCATGGAGGTGGGTTGTCGCTGAGAGACACCACGTCCTGATCCATTGTCACTGGGGTAATCAGACTGTGTTAATGCACCTTTAACATCTCCTTCGTCTGCACATCATCTGTTGTCATAATTTAGTGTCAGCCCCTTACAGACAGGTAAACATAGTGAAAGGCAACAACTACAACGGGGGTCAGTGGAGAGATGAGGGAGTTTCACAGGTGTTGGACATTTATGGAGAAGCTTCTGATCAAGCCAAAGTGGAAGGAAAAGATTGTATCCAAGCAGTTTGGGAAATCTGACCACTGCACAAATGACGTTATTGTTCTTACTCTTGTACGCACACACATTTCAGTTAAATCTGCACATACGTGGCAGTTTAGGAGCTCTGTGGTGTTCACACTTAGATGTGAAGCATCAACCCAAAAAGATCTGAGCATTAAGGCCTGTGATGTGAGCAGAGCATTAGACTGGACTGTTAATAATCAGCCCTTAATTATATGATAGTCACATGATTCTGCAGTGGCGAGCTGAGACTGTTTGGAAACACTTATTTATTCAAAGACTATGACATCGACAGATTTGTTATCACACAACTTGCCAAACGCACACATCATTTTAACACTTCACATTAACACTTACCACAAAGAAGAAACCAATACTCATCATCTTGGCCGTCCGCCGCACGTTGTGCTGAGCCAGTCCTCGTCTCTCAATCAGCTGCTGGGAGATGACATCACCGACGCCCACCAAAGAGCCTGCAGGGGACAGATACTGTCTTAGCCCACTGAGCATACAGACGGTGAATCAGTGTACATGTTGTAGTTTGATTAGAATCAGTAGTCTGCAGTCCACAGTGATGGACGCAACCAGCAGAGTTGCCATTTTGCAGGATGTTTCATAATCACCTTTGACCTTTGGTTTAAATTAAAATGTTGATGTAGAACACTACTGGTGCCATTTGCCAACCTCGAACACAGCACAGCGGCTCCACAACGAGTTCAGACCCCGTCACTTCATGGGGCCCATACACTCAGTTACTGGTTATTAGGTACACCTGTCAAACACTGCTGCAGTCTAACACAACATGTCCTGAAATAACACTGATGAAGGTTATAATGATTATATTTTTGTTTTAAAGAGATCGCTACAGTTAGTTACTGTGCTATACTGATAGATGGTTCTTTATTTAATGTTCAGTAGTTTGTTAAATGTATATCAACCATCAAACGCCTCTTCAGTTGGCGGATAAAGCTGCAGGCCCAGAGTGCAGTAAAACAGACCGAGCTGAACAAGAGGTAACCTTTCCTTAAAACATCATGGGAGGACTAATAAAGGTAGTTAAGGTGACAAAGACACCGACCCTGATGCGCATGTAGGACAGAAAATGTCAAGTGTACACCTTGACAGCAATAAATACAAGCATTTCCTTTGTCACTGTGACTCAGACACTTTGATGGACAGTAAAAGTGCCAAGATCTGGGTCTATTTAAACCTCAGGAGCTTCAGTCCGTCACTGAACGCCATCACTTTACAATGATATAAAACAGCAACTCTCACAGGTCCAAACACATAAACAGGTGATGACTTCTTCAAGCCAGATGCGCCAGATTTGTACATGCTGGTTGAAGAGGTAGTGACAGAGGAAAGAGATGAAGGCTGCACTGAAGAATAAAAGACTTGAAGCAATGGCACACAGTTCATCAATAAAAAAAAAAAAAAAAGTTAACGTTTTTTACGTTCATCCTTCAGATTGGAGACCCTCAGACCTCCCTGACCACAGACACCTCACACACACTGCCCCCATCTACTGGAGCCTGAACGTTACTACACCTAATCCAACATATTTCTTAGATGTGTTGACACATTGAGCTGCTCTCATTGCATGTTCAGATACAGCTCTCACACGCTTTCCTCTTTGCTGAAGAACCTGAACATGAGAAGGAGGAAGAACCACCAGGAATTTCAGGGACCAAAGGTGTCAACCTCCTTGGTGTCATTTTAATAAATACATTAACAAGATGTTCTTGCAGTTTAACTTCCAAAATGTCATTAAATTTAATTTATGAGAAGAGGAAAAGCAAGAAAGTCCTGAAATTTGAAAGTGTATTGAATTGGAAATGTAATCATCAATAAAAGAGTTTTATTAATAACACTGCATTTATCGTGATGAGGTTTATGTGCATGTTGCAGTTGAGATTTTAAACTGACATTGATCAGAAACAGCTTACAAGGGGAATGGGAAAATATTGGTTATTCAGTTCAAAGGCCCTTTTCTTTGTTGACTTTAAAGCTGCGATGCATTCAGTAAATATAAGACCCTCGTCCCAGTTTTTGTCTCCACTGACCTCACTGACATTTTAGGTGCAGCTGAAAGTGGAAAAAAAGCAACTGACACACGGTGTGGTCTAATAAATATGAAAACTCAGATTTCTACTTCTGCTTAGCTCAGCAGTTGTTGGATATGTGCAGTGGGAGAGGGTTCCTCTCACCAGCGGTCACAATCTGGACTGTCCAGGGGTATCTGGTCATCAGGACCTGGTAGGATCTCCACAAGCCGGCCATTCTCCCTCCTGTGGGAAGGAAAACTAAAGAAAGATAACGGGTCACAGCAAAAGCATGACCTTTACACTAACCCACCCCGCCCACCGGCACGCAGTGCGACCACAAACAAGCGACGCTGCTGATAAGCTTCCTTACATAGTCTAGAACTGTCTGCTTCTTTCAGACTGAGCAGCAG